CAGGAATGAGAATTGTCTTCACTGTTTTTGCTAGAAAGAAATGGCTTTAACAGGACTTAATTAACAGGACTTCATATGTTCTGCTATCGAGAACATGAATTTTGGATGAAGTGCTAGTAACTTTTTCAACTTGAGACAGAAAAAGGAGGATATCATGCAGTGGTGGCAGAGGGAAATCGAGACATTTTGGTTGGGTTTTTGTTTGCTGTTTTCCCATGAAGAATATAAAGGGAGACAAATACACAGAAAAAGAATAATATCTATTTGGATAATGTCTACAGGTATATTTATCCTGTACATTTCAAAGCAGTTCCTCCAAAGTACTAAGTGGATTTTTTAAAAAAGTAAAAATAATAATAAAAACTCTTCTGCAAAGAGCAGCATAAAGTGATGTCTGTCTGATGGGAAAAAGTAAGCTTGTAAGTGCTGTGTTCAAGATGTGATAAATTAAATGCCAAAACAGTGCAGTTGTTGTAGGTTCAGATAAAGAAGACTTTGAGTTTCCAGGACTCCCGCCATTATTATCTTGATGTGACACCTGGGCAAATTTACTTCTTTTGTTTGTATCTCAAGTTTCCAAATCTGTAAAATAAATAAATAATGACAGTAGTATCTACCAGCACAGTGCTGGTGTGAGAACACCACCTATGTGGTGTGTGCTCCAGTCTCTGGGCTGTAAGAGTTTGCTGCTTGACCACAGTTCACAGCAGATTTGCTGAATGGTCATCTCTTCAGGTCTTGGTTTATTGTGTTATTGCTGAATACTTGAAAAATAGCTATTCCAGGTTTCCTTCTGATATTACTTTTATTTTCCTCTTTCAGATTATTTCCTTTGTTTTAACCTTGCAGCAGATCTCACTCCATACGCATGCTCCACCACTGTCCAACTTCCCTCTTTGCTATGATGGTGTAACGAAGGTCATCACAGGAGAAGGGCAGATTGTCTGTCCCAAGGGCATGTTGTAATAACAGTCCATAAAATGTCACAGAAACTTATTTGCTTTTCTTCTCTCACATGCTTGCTCCAGCCCACACGAGATTAGGGAGCTCTGGGCTCAGCTACGAAAGGAACGTCCGGAGTTCATACCCAGTTTTGAAGAGTTACTGTTGCGTGTTTCAGCATACATAAGGGAGGTGAATAACGAGAAGGAGTCTGTGGAACAGGCATTGAAGCGGTAAGGACAACATCATGGTCATTTGCTGTCAGGAAACAGCTCAAGCTTGGATGTTGCCTAAAATGCAAGGAGAGACTAGGTTACAGGATGCAGAGATTTTTCTTGCCATAATAAAATTGCTCTTCATCATGATCTGATCCTCATTGGGTTTTTTTTGCATCAGTGCCACACAGCTGTTGGTGGGAATCTCTTTCCACCCTCCTCTTCAGTTTTGTTTCTGTGTTCTTTTTCTCTCCCCTGACCTGTGTGCACCCTGTCTTTTGTAGGAAGGAGACAGACCATGACCGAGAAGTCAGGTGCCTTTATGAAGAAATGGAGCAACAGATCAAAGCAGAAAGGGAGAGGTTGATCTGCCAGGTACCTCATCTCTCTTGGCTGAAGTCAGACTTTCTCTGGTCTGATGCAGATGGTGGCTCATCTGGCCAAGGAGCAGCTCTTGTTGTTCTGCGTGTTGTATGCACAGCTGTGTATCTTATCCTCTGCAGGAAGCAGTGAGACATGACAGGAGTAACCTACTCCAGAAGGAGCTGCACAACAAAGAGCAGGAGCTGGAGAAAATCCTCTACTGCCAGAAGAAGGTAACAGGGCCCAAATCCTTTCTAAAGAAATGTGTGCCTTTCTACTAAGGCCTTTTCTGACTGAGAAGGGTTTTCATCTGCTGAGGGCTGCTGCCAGCTAATCTGGTACTAGCTAGTCTAGTTCTCTCCTGTCTTTGAAGGTGTTAAAGTGATTTGTCAAGTGATTGGTTTGTCTTCAACTGTAATATCTTCCTGTGAATATTTTTGTCATTTTTTTTCTTATCTGCTTTGTTTTCTCCTGGCACAATCTTCCTATCAGTAGTAAAATAACTATTTGGCAAGGAAGAGAGAAAAATAGGGAAGCTGTGAGTTTGGAGCCTCCTGTAGCATGTAAAAAGCTGTGTATGGACATACAAGAGCCAAATTTCTCTAGTCTGTGTTTTCAGGCTGTTTTCAAATAACCCAGAGTCAACAATTCTGTGATGCTTAGAGCTGTATGTAATGTATATTTGCATTTCAGCACCTAATGATGTACTGAGTAATCAGTTACAAAAATGATCAAAGCAGAAACTTTCCTTTAGTCTCCCATCCCTGACATGGATATTTGTAGGGGATGGTCCACTTGGGATGTCTTTTTTGTCTGAAGAACTGAGGCATGACCCCCACAGAAACAAGTAATGGGAGGTCACCTGTCAGATGCTGGTGACTTGGAGTATCCAATCTGGATACCTAGTGTGATGAAACAGCACTTGCCTGAAATAATCAGTTTATTACGCAGCAACTGGAAAAGTCAGCAAAACTTAGGTGCCATTAGGAAGGATATTGAGCATGAGATAGAGGACGTAATTTTCCTGCTGCCCACACCTTTGATGTGCCTCAATTGGTGTGTGCAGTTCTGCTTTCCTCTGACTTCACTGTGTCCTTCACAGTGAATATGAAGCTACAGACAACTAATATGGTTAAGGAAATGGAGCACCTGACTCCGAAGAAAAAAATATAAAAGCTTAGACTTGATTTTGGAGACGGTGAAACTGAAGAAAGATATAAGTGAGTTTTATGGACTCAAGAAGGTGATGGATGAGGTCCGTATTGTTCTCTAAATCCTGCGACAGCAGAGGTTAGGGACAGTCAGTGAGATCAGTATGAGTTTGATTTAGAAGAACATCTTTACACAGAGATTATTGCAGGCTGTAACACCAGTTAAAAAATTGATTGGACTAACAAATGGGCAACACCTTCATAAATGTTTGTTAAAAGGAGGAGTAGTCTCTAACATCCCTATTCCAGGGGACGAAAGATGCTGGAGGGAATGGACCACATTTAGGTGTCCAGGTGTTATGGGAGAAGCCCCTGGTTGCTCTTCCTAGGTAGCATCTCCTCTTTCTATGGGTTGTCTCCTCTTTCTATGGCCATATGGACATTTATTCAAATGGTCATTTCTGATGCTCTTAACTCTGAGACTTGTACTTAAGCTATGTGGATAATTAGGTCCCTCTTGTGGCATAAGACCAGTACGGTGATTGTGCTGTTCTATGGTGTAGCTTCCAACATAGGTGGGAAAGAGACTTCTTAGGCAGGGACACGTAGTTTACTTAAAGCCTGTCCTTTGGTTTATTGAAAGATCCAAAGGCCATGGACAGTGATTCCTGTTTCTTAGTCTTAACTCCACTGCTCTGCATGTGTGGTAATGCTCAAATTTTCCCTGATGTACAAAGGACTGGAAGTCTTCAGACAATGCTGAGCATAACTTGTGCTTGTAACCCCAGAAGGCAGAGGGATGAGGCTTGTGTTCCAAGTAACCAAGGAAAGGTCAGGTCTGTTCAGTCCTGCTCATGACTATTCTAAGTGTGTGCTGGGAGACAGCAGGGTAGCAAAATAACCCCAGTTTACCTTGTGCCACAGTGGGCTGCTTTACTTTTCATTTGAGAGTCTATCTGAAGGTGCAGAAAAGGCTGGCTGAAAGTATAAATGGGTTTCCACAGGAGTCCCTGCTCCATGGCTGCAAGGGTAGATTGTATAATTTTATTTTGGAGCTGCAAGTTCTCAGATGGTTACCACAATTTTTGTGTATCACCAGCTTCATCTGAGGGCCCTGGTTAGCTGGTATCACAGAATCACAACATTATTCTGGTTGGAAAAGACCTTTAAGATTGGTCCCAACCATAAGCAAACTCAACCAACCATTAACCTAACGCTACCAAGTCCAGTGCTTAAGCACCACATCTATACATCTTTTAGACACCTCTAGGAATAGTGATTCTGTCACCTCCCTGGGCAGCCTATTTCAGTGTTTTATAACCCTTTCAGTGAAGAAGTTTCTTCTAAAAGCTAATCTAAATTTCCCCTGGTGCAACTTGAGTCCATTTCATCTAGTCATGTTGCTTGCTACTAGGGAAAGGAGACCAACTCTCACCTTGCTAAAACCTCCTTTCAGTTAGTTGTAAAAAAGCCATAAGGTCTCCTCCTTTCAGCCTCCTTTTCTCTATGGCTGGCTAGATTCTGAAGTGTCATTGTGATCTTTCTCAAGATGCAAGACTTGTCATCTGAGATGGACAGGTTTGACAACTTCATGTGGCTTTGACCCTTTCCCAGAGTACACCAGCCATTTGTGAGGAATCACATCACTGGTTGAGTACATGACTGCAGTCTTTTAACTTCCTAAATCAGGCTTGTTAGTTGTGCTGGAGTCTTATGCTGTCTAGAGTGCAATGGTGCCTCAGTGGCAGTTAAGTATTTCTAGCCTGAGGTCCTGTCTCCAACAGTAGCTAAGGCCACCCAATCACTTGACTTTCTAGGTATAGTGTGAGATACCCCTAGCACCTCAATATATTCCCCTTTTCACCTGCCATGGGCTCAGGAAGCCCCCAAACTAGAGGATGCATTTCAACAACTGTGCTTTGTAAGTCCTCACAGACACGCTCCTGCTTCTGCCAAATTTTTCTGCAGTCCTCCTTTCAGCGTCCTTTGCACTCTGATTTCTACAATACCTGAGAGCAGCAAGCTCCTCAGGCTGCCTGAAGCACTTTCTTAGCTGTGCCTGACTAATTGCATTGCTTGCTCCTCAGTGCTGATGTAATGAGAAACAATTGCTTCCACTGTTAGTTCTGTAAACCTAAGTTGTGTTTACCTCCCTTGTTTATATCTACTTTTTCAGCCTGTTTTTCTAGGCATGCTTGTAGCACAAAACCCTTTCTCACTATGTTTAACCCTTCCTCCTCCTCTCCCATTGCAGCTGGAACATCAGCTACAGTCTCTGAGCTCGGAACAGCTGGAGACTCGCATGCAGAACGAAAGGCTCCGGTACCTGAATGAAAACCTGCTGGAAGAGCTGGAGAAAAGCAAATGGGAGCTGGAGGCAGTGAAGGGGCAATTACAGAAGCTCCAGAAAGAGGCTCAGCTCGAACAAGAGCAGAAGGACAGGTGAGATGAGGGCAGGAAAGGGGGTGTCCGGGGCAGAGACCCAGGCAGAGGAGGAAAGGTGGGCAAGTAGTTAAAGGAAAAAGCTTTAGTCTCATCAGAGGATTACTTGTCTGTTCTTGAGGAAAAGAAGTAATATTCCAGTAATTTGAATAGGGAGTGATACTGCTACCTCCTGCCTACCTTTAGTAGGAAAGGAATATGTTTGTTGATATTTGGCTATGAAAACACTAAAAAATATAGGTGTTCCTCAGCCTAAAGGAAGCTTCTTCTTCATGTATTTTCCAGTTCACCATCACCTCTCTACAGTTTCTACAGATCCTTTTCTAATCATTTGTTGTCCTGTTTCTGGACTTAATCTAAAAATACTTAGCTGAAACATTGGAGTGTTTCAGGTCCAGATGGCACTGAGCATCCTTCCCATCTCTAGCAGCTGCGGAAACTGGAGTATGAAAGGAGAAAATGGGTTGCCTGCCCTCATGTTGGAGGAAGGCAGGAGAGCTGGGTTAATAACCCTGCCATGCCAGCTCCTGTGGTAATGCTGATTCCTCTGAATTTTCCTAACATAAGCAGGCCCTTATCTTTGAGAATACCATGAGTATCCATGAGAAAGGGATCTTCATATTTCTTCTCCTGTTAATTTACTTCCCCTTTTAAAATCCTCTTTACCCAGGGATGTGTTTAGAGTCTCCAAGAACATGCAGAAAGAGAAACAAAGCCTCCTTCGGCAGCTGGAGCTCCTCAGGTAAAAACAAGCTTGGGGAAGATGCTGAGCTCCTGTGCATGTAAGGGGCTGAGGTTTCAGTGCTGTGCTTGTTTTACCCATGGAAGGCTATGGGAAGTGTATTCATGCAGTCCTCAGACATTGCTTGTTGTTCAGGGTCCAGACAGAGTTGTGCAATCTGGCCATCTCTGGCAGAGTACAGGCTATATTATTTCACCAAGTAATCCCAAGTAATGCAGGAATTTAGTCTTTCCTGCTGGCTAGGGGAACCACGTGACATCCATCACCTGAGCTGGGATACATGGAAATCCCAACATATCCGACATAAATGACATGTTTATCTGTGTTCCAAGCTCTCTTTCTGTCCTAGCTTTCAAATGTTGGTCTTTACTTCATTTTTGATGAGTGCTTCATTGTGTCTCTCCTGTGTCTTCCTTTGGAGTAGGGAGATGAACAAGAAACTTCGAGATAAGCGAGATGCTTTTGAAGCCAAGAAGCTGGTTAGTTTAAGAAAGAAAATCCTAATTCCTAGCCACCCTCCTTTCATCTGCTGCTGTTGCTGTCATCACTCGGAAGCCTGTCACTTCCACGGGGGACAGTGATCTGAACTCACAAGGCCTGGTGTGGTGCTTAATACAAACTTCACAGCACTTCTTTGCCTGTGCTAGAGATGAGCTCTGCTGGTTGCTGTTGCAATCTGCCGAGGTTTCACCCAAGGCACATTAGCTTGTGACTGTCAAACAGCCCTGTGCAGGACTGCAGTGGGTACTGTCTGCTGCACAGCTGGGATCTGTGCATTTTGACAGGCACTGGGCACATGCAAGGAGGTGAGTAAAGCTGGATGCATCCCTGCAGCTGAGTGGTGAGGAAGAAGAATATGGATTCCCAGATATGTTGCCAGCTGACTTGGGGTGGAGGGCCGTGGGAGGGATTTTGAGTTTCTCTGACCCCTTGAGTTTGTAGCATATGTTTTCAGATGCTGCTCTGGGGCAGCTCCCCATTCCCGTGAGCTCTGCTGGGGTGGAGGTGCAGCAGTAAGCCTTGTGTCATAGGGCTAGGAGAAAGCAGGGAACCTCTAGCATCTGGAACAGTCAACTCCATCTATCCCTGGCTTTTTCCAGTCTCCAAGATAAGTACAAATATGTGATCTATTTTTAAGTCTTATTATTTTTTTATTGAAAAATTCTTTGTGGTCCCAAATGTCCCTTGCAAGTCTGTTCTGTGCTCTTTTTGGACCCATCCCTGCCTGCTCTGCCACCATGCTTCACTTGAAGATGTAGAAGTAGCTGTGAGCACAGGCAGTGGTAGGCTGGGAGAGACTTTCTGGCTGGTATGTAAAGGAACATGGAAGGAAGCACAGGGATTGTGCCCAGTTGGGGATGAGTTGCCCTGCTGGGGGAGAGGCTGGAGATCTTCTCCAAGTGGACCAGCAGCTGTGTAAAGTAACTTGAGTAACTGTTTTGGATGGAGGTGAGTTGCGTGTGCATGTGCCTTTGTGTGTGTATTTCTGAAATCTGAAGGATGATTATTATTTTTTCTTTCCATTTTTAAAGCCGCGAAGTATGTGTGTGCACCAGACCTTCCTAATCAATAAATCAATAAATAAAGTCAATCTGTAGTAGAGTCCAGTACAAGCAAGCAAAGAAAAGGTTTGTTCTCGTCTTGCCATGCGTAGTGCTTTATCCACTTCTAGATTCCTGTGGGTGGGATGGGTGGCCTGTGGAAACCACAGTTGAAGTATATGCCTCTGTGCAAAGCTTGTCCATTTCGCCCTCTATTATCTTTTTTTTTGCCACTAGGACCTGCTCAGGGCTGCTCTGAAACATGACAGTTGCAGGTGGACGTAAGAGAGAGACAGCAGAGAGTCATAGTAGAGAGGACCCACTTTCTCCCTCATATTTGTGCTGGCAACAGGGAAGGGGCAGCAGGGTGAACTCATCCTAGCATCATTGCTCATCTGGCAAGCCTGTGTCATGCTGGGCAGATTAAGCCTGTACTGAAGTAAGGTTTTTTCCTTTGTCAGCCAGGACATCTTGTTGGTCACTCTCATTTCAGTCCACAGGAAAACAGGGCTCCGAGGGATTACAGAGACGCTGTTATTATTGTACACCTACAGAAGATCTGCTATCCAGCCTGTTTCACTGTAAGGGGAAAGAAAACAGCAATACTTCCCTGCCGCAGCAAAAAGGAGAGTCTAGCCTTCTGATGAGAATGCCTAGTATGTAACACACTTTCTGGCAGAGTGTACCAATGCTTTTACTGGCTAAAAAGAAACCCAAGGCCTTGATAACCTCTGTTCATGCTGGGAAGAGTGGTGGTTTCACTGTGAAATGAAGGTGTCATGAACAGTGGTTCTTCCATAGCAAAGATTGTGAAGTGGTTGGAAGGAGGAGTTGGGCTGTATGTGGCTGATGGCAAACCTGCCACTGCTCCTTTGCAATTCTTTGTGCCCAGCTTAATATCTTGCTCTTCGTAAGAGTTTCTGACCTTGCCAAATAGGCAGACCCTGGCCCCACAGCACTGTGGGACACTATTTTGCCCCAGCGGCTAGATGGTATTGTGTGGCTATTTCTGCCTATGTGCAAACCACTGCTGGGTCCTTTTAAGACCCAGGGGTTGCAGGTTCAGTTTCACACCCATGACCCACCTGGCTATGGAGCTGTGTTTTCATACTGTATGTTGACAGAGCAAATTTCATGTCTACTTGCCATGAAGAGTGTTTTGGGACTTGGTCTACATTGGACATGTGTTTGTATTTCACAGATAAACAAGAATTTTTCCTATCCCATGGATAAACCAGGATCTTTCCCATCCAAAATGCCTCTACATGCGCTGCTCTTTTTATGGAATCCTTGCCATCATGTGTTGTACAGCTGTGAGGTCTTATCTGTCCCTTTACCATCCCAGTGAAGAGCCAAACACAAACTTGGCAGGCCTATAAAGCATGGCAGAAACAATGGCAAAATATACCTTCTTGTTTCTCCTTTCTTAGCCAGGTACCTGCTCTGCAGATTGCCTGGGACTCCCTTTGCTCCATAAGTGACTTGAAACTTGCGAGTCAGCTCCAGGGGGCTGCAACACAATTTCCCTGTTTCTGTGTATCTTTGAGTGAATCTGCTCCAACCCTGAGAATTTCCCCACTGGAGAACCACCAGTTGGCTGAACTACAGCCTGTTAGCAGTGTTAACCAAAGAGTCACTCTTTACTTAGGATCCTTTGCCAATCCTATCTGCTTTTTCTTTCTCTGGGGAGTTGGTAAACACTGGTAAACACAAGTGTGTAGTCTGAGGTAAGTAGGAGGAAGGCATGGAGCAGAACGTTTGTGTAAGGCAGAGCACATGCATTACACTTTGCAGAGCAGTCTCCTTTCTTTCCTATGGTGCATATGCAGCTCTGGCTGAGTACTGGAAGGCATCTCAGAGCAAACAGCCCTTACTGAAGAAAAGGTCAGTGCTAGAGAGTTAGCTGCTGGACAACAAGCTTGGTCAAATGGTTAGGTGAGTGTCTGTGTTGTGTTTGTGGTGTCAGTCTGTGCTTGCTGGAATCCTTTCTCAGTCAAGCTATGTCCTTTGTCTAGTTCTCCCACCGTAGTGCTGGTTTTGAGACCATGGAGGGCGGGGAATGGATATGCAGCTTGCTAGTGGCTCTCGCTGTCTCTTGGCATCAGGTGGTGCTTGCTCAGCATGAAATCCTGTCCACTCGCCAGAGCCCATATCCCTGGGGCATGGGAGAGGGCAGGGCAGGAGTTGCACAAGGCTTGTGTTCTCTCTGGCAGCTGAAAGCCCAGAGGGCCCAGCTTCATCTCCCTCCACAGCTGTGCAGATGCTCACCCGGCACACCAGGCCTCTCCTTCAGCCAGGGCAGGCAAACATGTCTGTGTGGCCACGGTCTTATTTTTTTTTCCATTCTACATGCAGACTGTGCCGTGGCTTCAATACCCATGTATGCCTGCTTGCCTAAACTATGCTGGCATCAGCCCTTACCAACCAACTAGTTGTGTGACCAGCACACTGGTATTGGCCAAAAGCCTGGTTCATCTGAGAGGCAGGAGAGGCCAGCCCAGCCCTGACCTGGTTTGGAGCTGGATCTTCTCTGTAACTACTGGTCCTAAACAGGTTTTAAAGGTGGCCTGCTTCCCTGTTTCTTACCAGGTCTCTGCAGAACATTCCACCGCTTCTCCCCTGCCACAGTTTCTCCTGGTGCCAAGCAGAGACACAGGCCTAGGTTCAGAGTTTCTTCCAGATTCAACTTGCCCTTAATGCTTGCAATTGTGGCATTTAAGAATTGAGTTTGCGGTTCCTGAGTTCATGGGCTGATGGAAAAGCAGGTGGAGCAGGCCTGATTCTTCAGCCCAGGCTGGGAGGTCGCTTGAATAGGTCTGAGGCAGAGCTCTTTCCTGGCTGTGTGACTGGCAGACATGCTATCCATGGGATCAGACATCCAAGTTCTCCCAAGATTTTCCTTGCAGAGATTCTGCTAGCTGCTCCGGGCATAAACCCACTGGAAAGGCTTAACAGGTGAAGAAGTCCTTCCAGCGAGGATGATGTGAGAAGGGGAGAAGTATTTGTTTGTCCTGTCTCTGTCCCAGTGCTATGTCATACCACAATGACTGAGAAACATTAATAAAATCCATTAGGTATGGAGTCACTGTTCAGAAAGACTTGTGTTTGTCCCTTTCTTGCTCCCTTGAAGAGGCTTGTGAGTCCCAGCCCCTCATTGCTGCAACTCCTGCCAACCCTGGGAGATGAGCCCCGTTCCCCTGAGCCTGAGATGCCTGTTTTCTACGAGGAGAGGTTCCAGCTGGCCTGGCTCTGGTCTGACATTTGGGGAAGATGCAGGGAGGACAACCAGGAATGTGAGCTCCCTTTCACAAAAAAGGTGTAGGCATGGCAGCAGGTAAGTTTTGCAGCCCTGATGAGGTATACTTGAAGGACTGACAGAAGAGATTCGTTGCCTTGATTCCTGCGCTAGTAGCAAGAGAAAAATGTTGCAAAGAGAGGTGGGATGTGCTGCCTCTGAAGAGTTTGGTTGTACTAAGCCTCTGGTCTCTCTAATTTACTTCCAAATGCAATCTGGTGGCCAATGAAAGCAATGGAGATTCCTGTGGTGGATAAAGCCTTTTGAGTTCTAAGCCTTCTCACTCCCTTTGTCTAGTTCTTTAACTATAGAAAGCCAAGGGAGAGCCAAGATACTGCCTTGCTCCCTAGCAATGATTCCAGTAGTCTGAAACAGTTATTTTAGCGGTTCTTTTGAACGCTGTTCCTCTACTTACCATTTCAGGTCTAACCCCAGTGAACAAAGTGCAGCAGCCTGCTCTTGTGTAGGCATAGTCAGGACAACACCTATTCCCCACAACCACAGCTTAGGCAGAGGTTCGGGGAATTTCTTGCCATGGAGAACACAGTGTGTCTGGTTGGAAGCTTTATAAAAGCTTTATAAGACAAACATCTTCTGGGTCCTGGCTCCCTTACTTTGGACCAGGCATGGATGCAGGCCAGAGCAGATCCAACACCAGGCAAAGTGACCACTGTGTGAGCATGCTCCCTGCAATTTGCACACCTGTGGCAGGTTTCTGCTGCCTGAAGTCAGTAGGGATGGCAGGGCAGGGATGTCCCGCTTCTTTGAACATGGCTATGTGCCTTCAGCAGAGGGCACACGCTGCCTGCAGCCTCCCCAGCACAAGCAGCCAGTCCTCCCCCTGCTGCCTGCAGCCAAAACCCTTCTCACTTACCTCAAAACTTTATTACTTTTTTTTTTTTTTTTTAAATGTTGTATTTGGTAACAAAAATAAAGGGGGTTTGTTTTTGTTTTTGTTAAAATGTTTTTCCTGGTGCCACTTTTGCATGCTTTGCCTATTTTTTCTGTACTGGGGGAAGTAGGAGGCAAAGAATCCTTGAAAAAAAACAAAAGGTGGGAATTTTTATTAAAATTAATGAAATACATGTTGGCACATACAAGTACAGCATAGCTCAGAGGAGCTGCCTTTCATTCCCTAAGGGTGCTGCTGGTGCCTTAGACACAGGGAGGATGGGGACTGTACACATGAACTAGAGTTCCTGCAAGTGTTGTATGTACACTAATTGGGTCCTATTGATTGTTCTGGGAATTTGCAACCTCCTCCTCTTCCCCTACCCCATCACCCTCCCACCATATTTATCGTGCCTGTGGACTTTAATAGACAATTGGCCTCTGTGGACCTTCCCTTCACCTTCCCAGTGGATGTGGCAGTGGAAGAAGCCAGCAGAAAGAAGTGTAAATACTACCCAGGCAATGAGACATGTCTAAAGACAGGAGAAGGAAGCAGCACAACCTTCAGAGAGATAAGTAGACAGAAGGACAGATGGTCGTTGGTAGAACATGCTGAATGGTTGAAGATGACTTTGATGGGTGACACTTGACTGTAGAAAAATACAAATGGATTAAATGATGCTCCACTGCCTCCTAGAGGGCAGCCTGTTGGCATCAAAACCAGGATGAGTCTAATTACTTGGAGCTCTTTCTCAAACACCTGCTAGCAGGGACTGGAGGGTTTCTGACTATCCATCTACCTCCATGTGCATAGGTTTGCAGTGCCAGGGTCCAATGCCTAAATCAAAGGACAGTCCTGCAGATGGGCTTTTCAAAGCTGCATCCCTTTCTTCCATTGTTGGAACCAACCAGCTGTTCCCCTAACGGCATCTTTTAAAGTGCTGTTTGTAGGGAACTCTGGCATTGGATAGACTTCCTTCATCCACCACTTCTGCTATGACAAGTTCTTGGCTGAGCTCAATGCAACCATTGGTAAGTGATAGGGTTCCTGACTCATCTGGCTAAGAAGGGAGGGAAAGTCAGCCTGGGCCCATGGTTTTTATCTGTATTTTAGCCCAGCTAAAAGTAAAGATGGTCCCTCAGCTAATTTTGAATCAATCTTGCAATTTCCTTGAACCTAAATAGTGTTGATCTTGGACATTGGCCTTGCTATGGCAAGCTGCTCTCTCCCCATCCTATCTTATGATTATAGTTACTTGCCTGACAGGTATTGATTACCAGGTGAGTCTGATGGTGGATAACACCCAGGTTGCCTTACAGCTGTGGGATACAACTGGACAAGAAAGGTAAGCAATTTCTGTGAGGATGCCCATATGAAATTCTCAGT